CCACCAGGTAAGAGGATGGACATTTAGGTAAGGATTACAGAGGGGTGGTCTAAGCCAGGATATCCTGTTGAGAGTTATCAGCACGTAGATGGGCGTTCAATCTGTGGGTGTGGGTAAAACACACACTAGGCTACAGGCTTTAAATAAAAACATCTACGATTCAATATCCCTTTGAAACCAAAAGTTTGCACTTGTAATAGCCCCAGACATACTTGCTGAAAGGAATGAGCCCTAAGAAAATCTAAAATATCACAAATCTATTGGGATGAATTTTCATTTACACAGTATAAAGGGACAAACTGGATTTTCTTATCTTTGTTTTAATAGATGAGAGATAGGAGGTTTTTATTACTACAAATATAATCACTAATAATTATTATTACTGTGGTCCAAGTAAGAAATCTGAATCTTTTGTATAACTAATTAATTACATTTCCTTAGAAGAAGTCTAAATCTACTCGTGGAAAGACATTTCATCCTTCCATCAATTTCTGCGCATACATTAGGCACAGAGTAGGAAAAGACAATTGAGAAAAATGAGAGAGCAGAAAAAAATTAATTATAATTATGGAAATGCAGCTTAAAAGACAATGGCTTAAATTTGTAACACAGGTCTGATAGAAAATAATGCTCATAAGTAACCACTTAAAACGTGAGAAGTCTGAAAATCTGAAGGAAAGGTTGACTGTTTATTAGACATATTTCTTCTTTCTAATTGAGTAATTGGAAAATTGATATTCCTAAGCATAAAAGAATAAAAGCATCAAGGGCTGGAGACTCGATGGTTTTAAGAGAAAGAATTTGAGAGTCTAACAGGAAAGGCCAGTCAAAATCTCCCTTAACACAATAGGCTTGTTTCAGATAACAACTAAAGGTAAAGTTTCAAAGACTGAACATTGTTACTTCTTATCCANCCTTCCCCCAATTCATAAGCGCTGTTCCCATCCCCCAATTCCCCAATAAAAATCTTCAAAAATAATGTTCTAAATGTCCTTTGAATTCATGGAGTCAACACTTTACCAGATAGTAAAATTACTGCTTGATCTAAATGCTACATGGATTATATCGCTCTGTTGGTATAGTTCAACACCTGGCTCCCCACAGAGAGTTAATCATCATTTATTAGCTATGAAGCTATCTAAAAAGTCAGCTGGATGTCACCAAGTAAGAGAGCCCCATCTCACAGAGCTCTGCTGTCCTCAGTGATGGGGTAACAAGAGCCGATGCCAGAGGCCCTCAGCCCTCCAGCAGCTCTGCATGAATCCTCACCTGCCCAATATAGGGAGGCTTTGAAACACTTTCATGCAAAATTCCTTTTATGTCACAATATTCCAATGCTATAAAGATCTAATCATTTCCAATAATCAGAAAATGCAGAGATTTGCAAGATTCATCCCACAGAAAATCCACTTAATGTTTCATAATACTTAGCTCAGATCATAAAGGCCAGTTGCATTGGAATGGCAGAATGTTGACTTTTAAAATTAACCCTGCGCCCTCCACAACTAGATTGAAAAAAAAAAAAACAAGAACTTGACTTGGAGCTGATGGGTCCTGGAAAAAACACTGTTCCCCAAAAATGTTTTTAAAATAATAATAAAATTAAATTAAGTTAACCCTGCCACTAGCTGGATGGCATGAATATGCACCACTTACCTTCTCATCTATAAAAAGAAAGTGGTTTTAGTCAGAGGTTTTTAATGTTTAGAAGGGGCAAGGAGTAACAGATTACTTTGAAATATGATGAAAGCTAAGGACTTTGTTCATAGGAAGGGGTGTATTTGCATATATATATATATATATATATATATATATATATATATATA